GAAGGGTTAAAAATAACTGAAGGTTAACAGCAAAAAAGAAAAAGCGATTGGGAGAAGTGAAGGTAATAAGGGGGAAGGATTCCTCTGAACGGGGCAGCGAATTAATTGACGCTGCGATAAGGAGGCCGTAGCGCGGAAGAAAAAGACAAGTAGCAGGCAAGAAACACGGATTACGCAAGCAAATACACATGCCTGCCAAATCTAAAAAAGCAAAAAAAACAAAAACAAAAAGAAATAGAAACCAAAAAGGCAAAATCGAAGCGCCCGACTCTTTAAAAAGCATACGCGTCGGGAAACTGTTTTCCCCTGGCTGGGGTTTCTTTGCGTATTCGGCGTTGGGACTTTTGAGTGATACGTGTGTGCACTTGGTGCGCTGGGCCGATTCTCCCTCTCCCACTGTCTTTGAGGCTGTTGCTGCCGCCGATGCTCGTTCTGCCGCGTCTTGAATGTCTTTTCTCCTCGGCTCTCTCTCTGCCCTCTTTTTTTTTGTTTCGCTCCTGCAAAGTTTGTGCTCGTTGGAAGTTATTCACGATGGTCAACTTTACCGTTGATGAGGTCCGTGCCCTCATGGACTACCCCGAACAGATCCGCAACATGTCCGTGATTGCGCACGTCGACCACGGCAAGTCGACGCTGTCCGACTCTCTTGTTGGGGCCGCGGGTATCATCAAGATGGAGGACGCCGGCGACAAGCGCATCATGGACACCCGTGCCGACGAGATTGCTCGTGGTATCACGATCAAGTCAACCGCCATTTCTATGCACTACCACGTGCCGCCGGAGATGATCGGCGACCTCGCCGACGACAAGCGCGACTTCCTGATCAACCTGATCGACTCCCCCGGACACGTGGATTTCAGCTCTGAGGTGACGGCCGCGCTCCGCGTGACCGACGGTGCTCTCGTTGTTGTTGACTGCGTGGAGGGCGTGTGTGTGCAGACCGAGACGGTGCTGCGCCAGGCGCTGACGGAGCGTATTCGCCCTGTTGTGTTCATCAACAAGGTGGACCGCGCCATCCTTGAGCTGCAGCTCGACCCCGAGGAGGCGTACCAGGGCTTCGTGAAGACGCTGCAGAACGTGAATGTCGTGATTTCGACGTACAACGACCCTGTGATGGGCGACGTGCAGGTGTACCCCGAGAAAGGCACCGTCGCGATCGGCTCTGGCCTGCAGGCTTGGGCCTTCTCCGTCACGCGCTTCGCCAGAATGTATGCGGCGAAGTTTGGCGTCGACGAGGCGAAGATGTGCGAGCGTCTGTGGGGCGAAAACTTCTTTGACGCAAAGAACAAGAAGTGGATCAAGAGCGAGACAAACGCCGCCGGGGAGCGCGTGCGCCGCGCCTTCTGCCAGTTCTGCCTGGACCCCATCTACCAGATCTTTGATGCCGTGATGACGGAGAAGCAGGATAAGGTGGATAAGATGCTGAAGTCGCTGAACATTAACCTGACGGCGGAAGAGCGCGAGCAGGTGCCCAAGAAGCTTCTGAAGTCGATTATGATGAAGTTCCTTCCCGCCGCGGAGACGCTGCTGCAGATGATTGTTGCCCACCTTCCCTCGCCCAAGAAGGCGCAGCAGTACCGCGCGGAGATGCTGTACTCAGGGGAGACTAGCGCGGAAGACAAGTACTACGTTGGCATCAAGAACTGTGACCCTGCGGCGCCGCTGATGCTGTACATCAGCAAGATGGTGCCGACGGCGGACCGCGGCCGCTTCTTTGCCTTCGGTCGCATCTTCGCCGGCAAGGTGCGCAGTGGGCAGAAGGTGCGCATCATGGGCAACAACTACATCTTCGGCAAGAAGCAGGACCTGTACGAGGACAAGCCGGTGCAGCGCACGGTGCTGATGATGGGCCGCTACCAGGAGGCAGTGGAGGACATGCCGTGTGGCAACGTTGTTGGTTTGGTGGGCGTCGATAAGTACATTGTGAAGTCCGCCACCATCACTGACGACGGCGAGAGCCCCCACCCGCTGCGTGACATGAAGTACTCCGTGTCACCAGTTGTGCGCGTCGCGGTGGAGGCGAAGAACCCTTCAGACCTGCCGAAGCTTGTCGAGGGCCTTAAGCGTCTCTCTAAGTCTGATCCGCTCGTCGTGTGCACAATTGAGGAGAGCGGTGAGCACATCGTCGCTGGCGCCGGCGAGCTGCACCTGGAGATTTGCCTCAAGGATCTGCAGGAGGACTTCATGAACGGCGCCCCGCTGAAGGTGTCGGAGCCTGTCGTGTCCTTCCGTGAAACGGTAACGGACGTGTCATCGATCCAGTGTCTGTCCAAGTCCGCGAACAAGCACAATCGCTTGTTCTGCCGCGGTGCGCCGCTGACGGAGGAGCTGTGCATTGAGATGGAGGATGGCCTGAACGCCGGCTCGGATGCCGACCCGAAGACGCGTGCCCGCTTCCTTGCGGACAAGTTTGAGTGGGACGTGGCGGAGGCGCGTAAGATCTGGTGCTATGGCCCTGACAACCGCGGCCCCAACGTTGTCGTGGACGTGACGAAGGGTGTGCAGAACATGTCTGAGATGAAGGACTCGTTCGTTGCGGCGTGGCAGTGGGCGACGCGCGAGGGCGTGCTGTGCGACGAGAACATGCGCGGTGTGCGCATCAACGTGGAGGACGTGACGATGCACGCGGACGCCATCCATCGCGGTGGCGGCCAAATCATCCCCACTGCCCGCCGCGTGTTCTACGCGTGCTGCCTGACCGCCGCCCCTCGCCTGATGGAGCCGATGTTCCAGGTCGACATCCAGACGGTGGAGCACGCGATGGGCGGCATCTACGGTGTGCTGACGCGCCGCCGCGGCGTCATCATCGGCGAGGAAAACCGCCCCGGCACGCCCATCTACAACGTCAGGGCGTACCTCCCTGTTGCGGAGTCGTTCGGCTTCACCGCTGACCTCCGCGCCGGGACGGGTGGCCAGGCGTTCCCGCAGTGCGTGTTCGACCACTGGCAGCAGTACCCGGGCGATCCGCTGGAGCCGAAGTCGCAGGCCAACACGCTGACGCTCAGCGTGCGCCAGCGCAAGGGCCTGAAGCCGGACATTCCGCCGCTGGACTCCTTCCTCGACAAGCTATAGGGTGTCGGGGGGAGTGGGGGTTAATGTACGGCCAATAACCACTCCGGCGGGCCGGTGGCAGCACCGCAGTAGAGCAGGCGCGAAGAAGAGAAAAAAACGAAGCTGCGTACTGCTGTGAAGGAAGAGAAGGGCTAAAAATAACTGAAGGTTAACAGCAAAAAAGAAAAAGCGATTGGGAGAAGTGAAGGTAATAAGGGGGAAGGATTCCTCTGAACGGGGCAGCGAATTAATTGACGCTGCGATAAGGAGGCCGTAGCGCGGAAGAAAAAGACAAGTAGCAGGCAAGAAACACGGATTACGCAAGCAAATACACATGCCTGCCAAATCTAAAAAGCAAAAAAACAAAAACAAAAAGAAAATAAGAAAACCAAAAAAGGACAAAAATACGAAAGACGACCCGAACTACTTTAAAAAAACAATAACGACGTACGGGAAACTGTTTTACCCCTGGCTGGGGTTTCTTTGCGTATTCGGCGTTGGGACTTTTGAGTGATACGTGTGTGCACTTG